AATATATTGCAGAAGATTTTAAAAAGAGTTGGGCACCAAGAAAAAATTCTGAGGTACCAGTCTGGTAATTCAAAGTAAGACCTAGAAATGCTAAGTGTTTTCCCCCAAAATCACACAGTAAATGAGTGGCAGAGCTAAGAGGAGAATCATGTATGAACTGTAACTTTATTACTTAGTATTATGGGACTGTAATTTATTTGGCAGATAGAAAACATTTGTGTAAGCATGCTTTTGCGGTGTTGTTTTTAATATACAAATGCAATCGCTAACTTCTAGTAGAAATACAGTGATATAATTTTTAATATTTAAGTTAAAATGCATTTCACTGTTCTAAAAATGTGCCACGTGAAAATGAAGGTACTTACTTATCACCGTATTCCATATGTATAAATCATTAACAGGCTTGTAGGCACGTTTATTGAACTTCGATGCAGTTCTGAGGATATTTGTATTTTGAGAGCTAATAGATATCTTTGAGAACACAGTGATGCCAACCTTTCTTAAAAAAATGTATCTTTTGCACAACAAAATTATGCTCATGAATAATCACAGCTTTGAATTTAACTTTGAAAATAACTGTTGTATGAGGTCAGTAACTGTAACAGATCTGTCATCCTGTTGATTCTCTTCCTTTGGTCTTGAAGGTTGCTATTGTGGCTCAAGACTTAGCAGCATTTCATAGTGCCTCATCAGAAATGGGACATCAGCAACATGGGCACCATTTAGTGACTACAGAAACTAGACCTGTTACATTGTTGGCTACATCCAATGGAACACAGATTGCAGTACAGGTAAGATGGTGATAAATGTTTTTTGGAGTGTTTTTTACTTCTAGAGCTAGAAGCTCCTAGTCATGTAACAAAGTGATTCACATAAGCTTGGGTTCCCTGAAAAAATAGTCCATAACCATATGATCTCAAATGTTAAATAATATATAGGGTTAGGAAGAGGAGTAAGAAGCACCTGATTTTGTAGAACTTCCAAAAAGGGGGACATTAAGGGAGGGCCAAACTTCAGGTCAACTGAATCGTTCATGGAGTCACAGGTTTTCAGTGGAAAAGCGCTTTCATTCATCTTTCAGCATTACGTATAGAGCTGATACATATAAAGCCAAACTCTAAAGGGTAAATTGCTATGAATTTACACAGTTAAAATTACTGGATTCACGTTATTTGAACCTTGAATTGCTAATAGCAAAAAAGTGTAAACAATTACATAGAAAGATTATTAATCAGAAATCTCTGGAAGTAGTAACCTTCTGTTTATGTGCCAAACCAGCATCAGTCTCTTTAAGTAGTTCCTCACATTGTCCAAACACTGCAATGAAGGAGTAATTTCTAGGTATGAAAGAGTTTAATTTAAATTGGGCTAATTTAAAAGAAGGTGGAAACCAAGCACAAATTAAGCTTTTATCTAGAAAGTAGCTGAAAACAAAACCTAGACAAGTATTTTCATGAATAGTTTATTCTAGAGGGAGGCTTGGCTTGACTGGAAGGTTGAATGAAACTTCAGCGCAAATGATGGCCGGTATGCTACCTTACTCAAACATTAACTATGTGTATATTTTATTTTTGTTACATATGAATGATGGTAGGTTAATAGAAGCTTTTGGAAATTTTAAATCTGGAAGATTTAGTATTTTAAAAATTCATCTCTTTAAATGACATTGCAGTCAAGGGTCAAATAAATGACTGAGGGATCTTAGGGCAATTGCCACTCCGATGACAGAAGCCAATTTTAAACTCAAAGTAAAATAAAAGGAGTTGAATTAGTTTAAACTTTGGGTTGCGTAGGAGTATCAGTCCTGCAAAGTGCCTAATGCTTTTGATCCACCTCATGAAGCCCTCTTGATTCTGTCCTTAACTATGTGCATAAGTAAGTCCAGTGGGAATGTAATGAAGCTATGTTTGTATTCAAATTTACTATGGAATTGGGACTCAGAACTTTGTGGGTTTGATCCTATTGTTGTCTGGGTAGCACCACAGGCACACAATTTGTTCTAAAGAACACAGAAAATCCCAGGAACCGCACATCCTGAAGCAGTATACAATTACGAGGAGGATAATTTTCATGCATGTGATACACCCTATGAATTTCAAAAGGAGTTGAGTATATGCAACTGTCTTGAGTACAGTTTGCATGATAGGCCTTAGCTCTGACAAATCTCAATATAAAAGAACATCAGTGTGGCTATGCAGAGAGGAGATGCTCAAAAGAGTTTCTAAACAAGTCGGTATTAAGTAGTGTAAGTTTATGTGTTCTTGGGAAGGTTCTTGGAAATAACTTTAAATAGAAAAAGAAATGCAGAAAATGCACTCACAGATTTAATTTCCAGGGGGTAAAATAGACTTTGCATGTGGAAATAACAGCAACTTGAGTCTGGTTCCTTCAAACTGTTCACATTTGCTGAAACTAATATGAGATCAAAACCTTTGAGTCTCAGGATTAATGCTGCAGTCTTAAGTGTGTGTACGCACGATACTCTCTTAAGAGCTCAGATTGAAAGGAATTGTGTTAATATCTTAAAGCAGAAATGAGTGTTATTTTTCCCTTTGTTAAGTGGAAAATAGCAAGTCAGATGGTGATTGAAGAGCAATGAAAGATGAGGAGCTCTTAATTCTGAACTCCTGTCTTTTGAGCTAAGTTGGCAGTAATCAAAACTGCATGTAAGAGAAAGCATATCAAAAGGCAATTGTTTGCATGAGAGGAGGGCGGGGGAAGTAACTTGCACCCTCAGCAGTGTCCACCTTGAATGAAAGGAAAACATAGGCACTTTATGCACATGCCTCTCTTTTGTTACCAGCAGTGAAGCTTTTGGTGGAGTATCTTTATATTAATTAAATTTAAAATATACAGTACAAATAGAAGAGAGAGAATTCAAAATTAAATTATATTGATTATTTCCAAGTTCTTGATTGTTTCTCTTTTGTACTTTGATACTAATAAATTAATCCATTTGGTTTCTAAATAACAATAAAGCCAGTAGCCTGATAGCCAGATTGAAGTCCTAAGGAGGTGATAACAGAGCTCTTCTTGATTTAAGTGGCTGCAGAATGTGACTGTAAAAACAAGCGATACTGAGAGCTGTCCCAGTAGGTTTATCCATCTGTCAAACAATCTGGTCTTACTTTTCACACGCTCACACATCTTTCTCCGGAGCCAATATGCAATGGCCAGCTTTACCTTTTTGTGAGGTTGATGTTGTCTCCAGTGTTCCCATCACTGGATGTAAGTGCATGGTGTGCAGATTATAAAACTCCATGGATTCTTTCCCAAAATAGTTTTCAGTTGTCGTTATTCAGGGTTGGTTGATGTTGCTTCTGACAGTGCCAGGGATATATTGATGGCTTTGTAGTTGCAACTATGAGATAATTTCCCCTCTAAACTACTGTTGAATTGAACACTGTCATCATGACTGCTTTTTTATACAGTCAGGATTCTGCAACAAATACACACTTTTTGTATATATTAATGTCATATGGTGTTCCAAAGAGCTGACTTTCTGCAAGAAAGTTAAGAAAAATGAAGATGTTTGTTTGCTTTACCAGTGTTAAAATGTAATTCAACAGCCACCATGACTTTTGAAAGCCTTATCTTAGCTTTGTTGTATCTGCCAAGTAGAAATCACATCTACTTTGTGTGTCATGAAATGTGTTTACCATGCAGCAGTTCTTTGAACAAAATTTATTCAGTAGATACATAGAAACTCAGTTTAATCCTCTATCGGCACTATCTTAATTGTCATGCTGATTAGATAGCTGCTAGTATATATTACCCAGAAGAGGTGTGACAATACTGATCACACTTATTTGTGCTAAAGTATTGATCCATATCTAGGTCTTTTGGTTTTGGGTTGGGTTTTTTTTTTTTTTTTACACATTTATATCCACATGTAACATTTTGGATTGATTTATGTTTAAATGCATTTGTTTCAGCTTGGAGAACAGCAGTCTCTGGAAGAAGCCATTAGAATAGCCTCCAGAATACAACAGGGCGAAACACCAGGGATTGATGATTAACTTCTAAAACTGCTACCAGAACAATAGAGTGAAAGGTATTTTATTTTCAATCAACAAAGGTCCATGCCAGCAGCAGCCCATAAAAACTTTGAAGTTCCCCGCTCACTGATACTGTGTACACATTTTATGCAAGAGCGAAGAACATTTTGTAAGTTTTTTGTGTAAATAACCCTTGGAATGGACTGACATCATCTACTTCCAACCGTTGTATATTCAGGAACATGGAATTAGGATTATATAGTAAATTTCCTTGTTACCCTTTCATCGGATTTCAGACTGGTCTACAAGCAAGTGAAAAATTAAATAGAAGTATTGGAATTAATTTTTAATGTCATGTACAAATAATGAAGGCGTTACTGAAGATTTCAAATGTTTAAAATACTATTAAAAATCATTTCAGGAACCCTTACAAGTAATAAAGATGACAAAGCCTTTTAAATTGCATTCCATAAATGGAAAAGTCTTGGATTTTGAGCCTACTGTAAATCTTGGTATTTTGATTTGTTTCATACAGATTTAAATACTCTTTAGATTATCCACCCCGTCTCTTTCATTGTAAATACAGACTGTTAATGCTGGAAGTGCTAATTATATTATCTTTAAATTGGATTATGTACAAAGGAGAAACTTTGGTTGTTCAATATTAAAGGAAGTAAATCTAATGATTTTGTTTCTTTACATATTTTACTTAAGATGTTACTCTCAAATTATTATGCAATAAAATATAGCAAGATTGTATTGTCTAGATAGGATGATATTGTTGTGTGACGTACTGTTTTACTTTTTAATGAGACTGAAGTTCAAGTTATTTATTTACGGCCTTGTATAAATTTTTCCAAAGTTTATTTATCATGACCTTAAATTTTTGACATATTGACTTTGATCATAATCCACTGTAGTGTATTAAGTAATTAGTGTTAATAGTTATTTTAAGCATTCTAAAACACTACAAGAATGATTAAAATAGTAATTAGTCAACCGATTTTGACTAAAAAGTAAACTACCTGTTTTCAAGAGGAATATTTTCAAATGGTGCATTTGCGGCATAAGTACAAGTACTAATAGTCTATTTTCAACAGTTCTGAGTGCCTGCTGCTACCATTCAGTACCTAGGATATGCTGATAATCAGTGCTTTTGAAAATCAGGACACAAGTTACTAGAAAAAAGGGATTAAGGATGATGTAAGTACAATGCTCCTCTCCACCTATCATTCTGTGAAGGGCAAAAAAATCCATTGTAGATATGTCTAACACATACAGTAAAACATAACTTTACATTTTTTTATATGAAAAAGTGTCTTTACTCTTGTCTTGTTAGAAAGCTTGTTAAGCAAGTTAAAATTTTTTGGCTTCATGTAAGATTCAGTGCTTATTTTAGATGAGTGTCAAGAGCACTTCTGAAACTGAAGCCTCACCTTTTACCTTCTCAAGGGAAGGATTAAACATCTTCTGGATGAAGTGTTAATCAAATAATCATTTATAGGTATTGTGAGGTACACGTTTGACATAAAAAGTAAACTCTGTAATTACATACCTTGAGGTATTTGACCTCAAAAAGGCCAAGTTTGAATAGAATGAAGCTAATTTATTGTGAATTACTTTATCAGCGTGGGTTGCAGTCTTTTATGTTTTTCATACAGATGGCCAGCTGAGAAGTGCAGTGAAAGAATACAGTACTGTGGGATAGATGTGGACAAAGCAAAGGCTATTCTCTGGATCCATTACAAAGTAAAACTTGGAAACATTGAGGTTGTCTGTAACTTTTGTATAGCATTGAGGCTGCTTGCTCACTTAGGTGCCAGTTTTCCTGAAGTGTTGTAATTCTTTATATCCCATGGAGATAAATGTACTATGCAAGGAGGATTAATTGCCTGTCAACTAGATCAGTTTCTTAGTACTTACCACCTTTTAGAAATTAAAGATGTATCATTTGACATGAACGTTCAAGGTTTTTTTTTTTCTTACATTTCATTGCCAAATAGTTTGTGGAAATGGTGGCTGGAATGGCAAAGAAATAACTTCACTTCTTCTCATTTCCCAGGACATTTCCTGACCACTGTACAAATGTGAGTATTCTTTCTTCTTTCATACCAGTTGGCTTGCTGCAAGGCATTTAGAACTAGCTTAGCCAGGAAAAGCTGCAGTATTTTTAAAATTATTTCTCTTACTGGTATATTACCAGTTATTCTTGCAAAACTCCCAAGTCAAAGGTTGTGCTTCCGTGTGCTAGCTACCCCTATAAAGGAAAACATACTTACTGAATAAATAAGCCGGACTGACTTAGACTGCTTAGTGTTTAAAGAGAAGCTGAGGTGATTATATGCGTCTTGGCTGTGAGGCCTGTATTCATAATAGACTTATTTTCAGAGTGGAGAGACCTGTGTGATTCTTCTCCCCTGCTTCGCTTCAGACCAGAGTGGAGGAGCTGTTTTGGTAAGCTGATGCTGCATGTCGGTGTCAGGAGGACCTGTGGTGGAGATTAGACAGGGCGAAATCGGGTTAGACTGGAATATTGGTGAAAAGGATTTCAGGAGGAGGAAACAAAGAATATGACAAAAAAGATTGGGCGTTTGGCAGTAGAAATCTCTATCCTTTCCCCATAGATTTTATTCCTCTTTTTGAAAGTTCTGTCTCAAAGGGAATGTTTTGGCACATTAGAAGGAAATAATTTGTAAAAGAGGAATCCTATAAAGTGAAGCAACTCAGTATATCACTCCCTCTTACAAATTAGCTCCAGCATTTCCAGTCACTTTCTTTCAGATCTGAATTCCGGGCCTACACCAACTCCCCCCTTAAAGGGCTAAAACCAAAACCTCTCTAGACTTTGCAGTCAACTTTTCTGTTTTAAATGTTTCTACAGTTTTTTGCCACTGTGGGCTTTGCTTTTCTTCGCTGTAGTTCAGTGCCTCTCCTGATAGTAAGAAGAGAGGCAATTATTTTCGGTGCTCCAGGCTGATGACCTATTGTGCCAGACACACTAACATAACAATAGGACAGGTTTTTACCCTAAAGAGCTAATGCCAAAGCACACATGAATAGACTGGTGCTGCAAGAGTGTTTTTATAAGGGTAAATCCTGAAGGCTGACAACAAAGTTGTAAGAAGCCATAATCCCTGATGGTATAGTTAATCTCAGCAACTGATCAGCTGACCGATACCAGAGATATTCAAGCACAGTGTGGGAGAAAAGGCACGTGGTGTCTGCTTAGCACACAAGAGAAGGACAGAGCTGATAGTCCAGATAAACAAAATGTCTGAGCTTGGAAAGCAGTTCTTCCTAAACTTTACTCTAGTTCCTAACCCTTGTAACCCCTCAAATATTGCCGGGAGTAATTTGCTTGACTGGATGCTCTGGTTTCTGTGGTGATGGTGCTGCACTAGAATACGGAAAAATCTCTCTGCATGCTGTGTACTTCTCAAGAGTGCAGAGGCAGGGAGCCTTCCCCAGGGGCAGGAAGCTACTTAATAGGTATTTAGCCACCAGGGAAAGACAGTATGGAGTTAGGATGTGGTCAAGAGTGTTTCCGAATCTGGCAACTACAGCTGCTAAGGTTAGATTGCACACCTTAGGTTGACCATAACTTCTACTTACCACGATGCAGAACTGCCCTATAACAAGCCTATTCCAGTCAGTCTTAGTTTGCCATTGAATGAAAACAATTAAATGTTCTGTAAAATTTTCTGTATAATTTTCAAATATAGCACAGATGAAATTTCACCAATAGTTGGGTGGGAAGCAAACTGATTTTCCTAAGCAATAAGGTATTGAGAGACTTGAAATGAAGGGTAACTAGTGCCCTGTTCAGCTATTACTTTACAGTTGTTTGGAACTTTAAAAATATATTTACTCAGCCTGCATCATTTTTGTCTTGAAAAAGAAATTAACACATGCCTTGTCTTTGCAGATGCATAAGGTCCAGCAGGTTGTTGACAGTAAGGTACTCCTATTTTTTTGCAAAGCAGTATATATTTGGACACCAGGTCCCCCAAAAGTATTTTTTGCTCCATTGATAAAAACCTTCCAAAGCTCGGACCCGTATGACATGAGACCAAAAAATCAAGAGCCACTTTCACTTCTTGTGTGGTAAATAGTAAGCTACACTCCAAATAAGGCACAGAAACAAGCATTTTTCCTTGTGTTATGTATATTTTAAAATGCAGCTTAAGTGTTGCCAGCAGTTTGATGTTCTTTTGATGCTATTCTTCGTTCTGCTAGTAAAGCTCACTCGGCAAAGGAAAACAATCTAATTAGACCATCACCATTAGCGGTAAGTGGTTGACACCTAACCCTATCAGGAATGTGATACCAGGCTATTTCAACTTAGGGCTATATTCAAAGCAGACTTTAATTATCCCAATAAACATACAAGCTTATATCAACAAGCAAGCATTTTCTCGTACACAGTCTGTGTATTTACCTTTAATGGAAATGTGACCCCCTTAAATCCCATCCATCTCAGGTTCTGGAGCAGTAAGAGATGTTATTTGGATTATTTTTGTTCTGTGTAGCTTATTTGAAGCATTTTACTCAAAGAAATGGCAAAACATGTACACTTTCAGGGCACAAGTGGTTGTGTGGAATTTTTTCTGTAACAAAGAAACTTCTTGTGTAACTGTCAAAACCCCAGCATTTTACCCTTTCCTTTATTTTTTAAATCCCTCACCAGCCTATAGGTTGACTGACTGCTGTATTTTACTTATTTTTCTGGGGAGTTTTAGACTCTCCATCATGTTACTGCTTGATTCTGTAGTATTTGGCTGAGAAGCTTCTGAGCAGGTATCATAGTGAGGCAAGACAGGGAAGAGGCCGACTTCTAACATCTGGCAGGTCTGCTGGCGTAACAGAAACTACCACAAGGCTGTAGAAAGCTCCTGGAGAAATGACAGTGTTCCAAAGCTACACCTCCAGCAGGCTTTTTGCTTTGGTGTAGAGCTAATTCAGATCTGAATATAGGTTGTAATGACTGAAAACTCAGAAAGTACAAGAATGGTTTGTGGGACAGACAGGATTAGCTGCTTTTTGTTTTTAAACAGATATATTCAAGACAATAAGAGGTTTTTGAATGTATGTAGGTTCCTGCAGATGTTGTTAATGGGAAGAAGGTGGCTGAGCTTCTGCGGATGTTGTTAATGGGAAGAAGGTGGCTGAGCTTCTTGACACTCTTACTAGGCTTTCATCTTTTTATCTGCATCTCTAAAAAACACTTGCAAAATGTCTTACCTTAAACAGTATGCATAGGAGATTATTAACATGAATAGCAGTAAATTTGAAAAATGGCCGAGTACCTCTTTTATGATTTTGCGTGTTCCCCGAAGGAGAAAAAGGAAGGTTAGTGATACTGGTAAATTAGTAGTGACTGTTTAGTTTGTGTGCATTAGAGATTTTGAGGTTTTTAATTGCAGATACAAAATCTTGACTTCTATTCTGATCATTTAACTTCACTTCAGCGCAAGGAATGGGGCATTCTACTTGTACTGGTTTTCAGTCATGGCATTCTGTCTCCTCAACTTTTAGGATGTTTTGGAGGAAATTTCTGATCTGAATACAGGTCTTGGGAACAAAGTCTTCTGCTGTTTTCTTTGTAAGCAGAGATTTCAAGTGTTAAGAGGCAGTCATACAGGCAAAAAGGGAATCACTAAAAACTGTTAACTGTGTGCTCTCATAGTCACAGAAATACTGAATTATACGTGACTGTTTGGCAAAACCTGTGCTTTTTAACTGTACCTTGTACATTATAACTTCTTTCTGAATATCTTCAGATCTTCCCTTAAATTCTCAGATTTTGGGCCCAGAAGCTGCTCTTTACTTTGGGAGGCACCCTGCGTGCTGTCAAATTCCCCATTCTGTTCTCCACGTTGTTCTCTTGCTCTTATTATTTACACTTCCTGGGTGAATACCTCCTTGAGAAACACTCTGTGTGTACCCAGACTATAGGCTAAAAGGAGTAAGAGGACTGGCAGCATCAACTACAGGCATGTCTTTGAACACAAAGTCCATCTTTGATGGAGAACCCATTCAACTCTGCACCTTGTAATGAAGAGGCTGCCAGCTAACAGCAGCCGTTAGCAGCATAACCCCAGATAAAATAATCTTTAAACTGTTCACCTTTAAGCTGTCAGTGGCCCGGAGACAACATCTCCCAGTTGGCACATTACCATCGAGACCCGTTAGCCCTGTATATGCCAAGTCTTGCATGAGCACTGGAACGCTGCTGTCACTGGCACCGGCGACAAGCATGCTGGTCCCTAGGTGCTGGGAATAGCACAGATCCGTCCCGAGTCTTGGTTCTCCAGCAACAGCCTTGGTGGCTGTAGTGTTTCTGTTTCTCATATTAGCAACTTGACCTTCCTCCTCTTCTGCTTTTTCACTCCATTTTCCCTCCTTATAATAAGATGAACTGATCTGTTTCACACCATTCTGGCTGAATGGGTTTCATCTAGTTTTTGGCAGAACTCTTCCAATTTCATCAAAGTGGATTTGGGGGATTGCAGGTGAACTTGTACATGCAGGAAATCCTGCATGATGGCAGTGTACCCACTTCTGTGGCAGTTTCCCCTGACAGCTAGACAAATTGGCCATTGTTCCATTTCTTTCCCATTTATCATTATTTGGGTTCCCCTGCTACCCACAAAAGAGGGAACGACGGTTTCCCTTGAGCTTCAGCTTGAAAACTGCAAGTTAAAAGCATCTGTTTGTCAATGAGTGTGTGCTGCCCCAGATAAGTATTTCTGGTTGCAAGATCTTCAGTGCACCAGAATGATATACTTATTTTTTAATTTAAAAGCAAGTATTAAAGAAAACCAGAAGCCAATTTTGCAAATATATCCTGAAAACTCTTAAGCCACTCAAATTTGTAGGAATACCAGATGTCTGGACATCAGGTTATGTGCTGTTAAAGCTATTTGGAGGATCGGGGCTTTAGTTTGCAAGATCTACAGAGGCTCAAAGGTGCAATTTAATCAGCTTCAGAGAATTTGGGACAAATTTGGCTTGTAAAGTATGGCTCAGTGGAAGCCTGCAGAGCTCTTCTGCTCTTCCCCGCTCACCTCCCTTCCTCCTGTGACGATGTCCATTGCTAATGTGCTCTCTGAGGGAATTGGCTACATGGTGCTTTTTAGCTAGGCTGTTCGTAGGCCTCCTAGTGCTAGTTACAGCAGTTGTCATGGTGGACAGGATAGCAGAGTTGCCGCGCTCGGTCTGGGGGAAAATGGACTTCTCTTCAACACAACCGTTTATGGTCCCGACAAACTACAGCGAAAGTACAACTGATGCAAATTCAGAACAGCACATACATAGAGCCTATAAATGCAGTCCTTATATAGCAGCTATGCACTTTGTAACATATTTATTCAGTACTTCGCTTTCTTATTTGCTCTCAGTTAGGAAATAAACTTTCTTTTAAAACAATTGTGTTACTGCTGTTTATTTCGTTC